TTTTTCAGTAGTACCACAAACTACCTGTACCTGAAGATAAAACCAAATAGTCAACTGGTAAGCATACACCGAAATTTACCCATGTTTAAAATATCATTTTGTTTAAAAAATCCACATACATGTTTTTCTGCTTATGAAGTAGAGGGAGCACACAAATAGCTATATAGGATTTTCATTTAACAAACCCATGCTCTGAATGAGTCATCAAAAGACCGTAAAACCTTGTAATTTTTTTTGATGGTGCATGAGACAGTACATTGTTTTATACAACAAGAGACACTACTTCTAATTCTCCTCACAATCCTTTTCAACCCCACTGTGAGAGCTGCTCCTAAGTGTGTAGCAGCTTGGTTGGCTAACAGGTTCCTACATCATCTCTACATTGGGTTGGGTTGGGGGATGGCAAAGGGGCATTCTAACTAGAAGTTCTGGGAATACAGAAGCACAGATTTCTCATTAGAAAAATGCAGACCTGCCTACTGGTCCTGTGAAAAGCTATCACTATCGAATTGATCTGATTGACTTATAAAAGATAATTAGATTTTAGTTTGTGCAGAGAAGCTTAAAAGAGCTTGAAACAAGGCCTGTAGATTCTTGCCTGAGACAGAAACACAAATTTGATGGAAGAAGGTGGAAGTGAGTATTTTCAATTCTCCTTTACTCAAACAGATATAAATCTTCATCAGCACAGATAGTTATATGAAACTAAGGATTCCAAGTTCTCTCCCTCTGAAAATCGTGACTTATATCTGCGGCTGGGTAGAGATTTACTAACAAAGAGATGAGGTTTTACCTCTAGAAAAAGCTAGAATATTGAAGAAGTCCAGGGCAGAACAAGTACCAAATCTAGGGAAGCAGAGAGAGTGAATTGCTTGGGACCAAGGAACTATGCAACATAAGGGATCATACAAGGAGACCTTAGGAGACAACTGCTTGACCAATAAAATGAAAATATTAGTTCTATTTAGAGAAGGAGGCAACTTGGTAATGTCTCTGAATTCATGAACCATATAATTTGTCCTTTAATGCCTTGATACAATGAAACAATTTTTTTTCCCTAAGTAAATTAAATTCAGTTACCCAACCTCCCGAGTAAGGCTTGTGTTCTGAACCATAGTTTTTTTAAATCCCATTTGAACAATAATTAGAAAAGCAACTGGGAAATAGGAAACGGAACATTCCTTGAGTACTTACTTAATCCTAGGCCTGATGCTAAGCACTTTATGTTCCATCTTATCCTAACTAAAAACCCTGAGACGTACACACTTCCCCAATTCACTCATGTGGAAGCTGAGGCTGAGAGGTCCTCTGCCACAAATCCCACATGATGAACCTGTGATGCAAACTCAGACCTAATTCAGAAATTTGTGATCTTTTTATACCAACATGCTGATTCCCTTAAGTGAAATGTCAAAGGTGACCTAGCCAGGTCTTAATGAGAGAGGAAGAGGAGGAAAGACAATTTGCTGCTGGGACATTTCTTCAAAGATATCCTTTTGTCTGGTCAGGAACTAGAGTTTTTCCAGATAATTATATATTAGAAGTTGGGAATGTGGTACTTTCTCTGACTAGTCTTTGAGGAAAATTTTCCCGTGGGGATTTATAATATTAAGGATGAAAGAACTGTTCATTTTCCAGAAAGTAAAACTTGGGAGAGACTTAGAAACATGTGAAGCCTTAGGCTTGTGATACTGGATGAGGTGTTAGGCTGGAGTGTGGGAATTCATTCCAAGTGTGTTTCCCAGATGCAGCTCTGTTCCCTAGTCTACAAACCACTGTTCTTCTATGTAACACCTTGCTGTCCTATATGCCATCTGAAGTTTGGAAGCCATGTTAAGGCTAGATACAATGGTTTGGGGTCACGAAGAAGAAAAGCAATGAATACAACTTATTCTCAACTACTTGTATCCATCAGAGAGTATCAATAAGGGAAGGAGGAAGGATTCTTTGGAAATGAGTGCTTAGCTAATGGTTTCCTGGGGAAGCAGAAGGGATGAAGTAGCAATGGGACACATCTTGAGCTTAAGAGAGTCAAGTACTCCTGGATATTAAGAGTATTATGATCAAAGGCTGATGTCTCCAAACATGAACTATTTCACCTTTTGGAGATACGGCATTTTGCAGTTAAAGGTATGAAGATAGCCTAAGTATTTTGGACAAGAAAGAAATACTCCTTCTTGATCTCTTTGTCACCTAAGGCTCCCAATCTGAGCAAAAACCTAAGTGGGGAATGGCAGAAACACCCTGAAACTGACTCCTGAGGCATGGGATGACTTCTCTTTGAAGCATCTCAAGCAGAGTTAAAAATGCTGTGTTGTGATGCAATGACATAGGAACTGGGCCAAAATCATGGCACTCTTGAGTTTTAACTTCAGGTGTTTCTCAAGTCACTGCTATCACTTGTTAATTTAGCTATAAAATAAAAGGCACAGAATGAATGTGACCCCTATAGCTTTTAAGACTCAAGAGCAAGATGAGGCACCTGGGTGGCTCAGTTGGTTAAGCAACTGCCCTTGGCTCAGGTCATGATCCCAGAGTCCTGGAATCAAGTTTCGCCTCGGGCTCCCAGCTCCATGGGGAGTCTGCTTCTCCCTCTAACCTCCCCTCTCATGCTCTTTCTCACTCTGTTTCTCTCTCTCTCAAATAAATAAATAAAATCTTAAAAAAAAAAAAAAGAAAGAAAAGAAAAGAGCAAATGATTTTCACTTGAGTAAACTTGTTTAGGAAGATAGTGGTAGACATTCTGCCATCTAGTGGTCAAATTTCAGGGTTTGTAGCTAGTGAATCAAAGAAATTGGCCATACCACTGCCCAGCTTCTTAGAGATATTAGATTTTAAGAACTGCAGTTATAGTGCAGTTTTATTCCAGCGACCAGAAGTCAGGAGCTGCAGCAGAGGGGAGAAGGCCAAGAGCTCCCCACTTAGAGAAGGACCGAGTGGCCATGTGGTTGTCAAATGAAGGGTTATCAATCTTGCCTCTCAGGATCTGTCTGGAGACAGCCATGGGTGCCTAACTTAGTTAATGTAAGAGGTTTTCTCCTGTAAAATAGACAGAGTGGACCTCAAAGTGGCCATACTAGGAGAATTGTTGTTGGAATACTCAGGTGAAAAAGAAAATTGATCTGATGAGGTTTGATGGTAGAGCCACTGGACACTGTGCACAGTTAAGGATTGTCAAGGAGGACAGAATAAAGTATGGCTGAACCTGTAGCAGAAGCAAGGCCAGCCTTCAGAGTCTGGGGAAAGGCTTTCACACCCTCAAGTTAGGGTAGGAACCAAGCAGAAGCCTGTAAAACCAGAAGGTAGTCAAGATAGGTATTTCAGCTGCCAATGGGCTGTGGAGGGAAAGATACAGAATCTCTGTCAGTGCAGCCAAGATATCTTAGATTTTGGATTCTTCAAGACCTTGGGCTCCAGCGATAGATAAAAGAAAAATAACCTAAATAGGGGTGGGTAGGACCCCCTGGCAAACAGTGGAAGCCCCAATTTGAAATGGGCAGAAATGTGTATGCACTTAAGTATATATATACTTCTAAATGCTGAGCACAAGAAAATGGTCCTCACTAAATGGCAGATTTTACCCAGAAATACTATTAGTATCTGATATTTTTTCAACTATGAAAAATAAAATTAGGTTTGGCTCTTTAGAATTTGGGTGTGATTTCTATGGGCTAATTTTCCAGCAAAAAGAAGCTGATTACAATGGCCTATCATCTGGGGACAAGTTTACTGGTAATCTATAAGAGTCCCTGAAAACCCCATTATGTTAGTTATGAAAAGATCCAATGAGTACACATTGAAAGCTTGTCCTAAGAGAGAAAGATCAGTGGTTATCATTTATCAAAAAAAGTTTCTGGTGTTTTGAAAATATAGAGTGGGTGGCTGTAGGTCACTTTTCTCAACTTTGTTTTAGGAAAACTCAGTCAGCCTATTATTCCCTCAGACTCTCTGGTTTCCATTTCTGACACTCTTATTATTCTCTGGTTTTAGAGGAAAGTCTGGGATTTTGTCCAGAAAGTTGTCCTAAGCAGCCTGGATAAAATATAAGACCCAGCTTCCTTTCCTAGACAAAGAAAAAGATAGCAGTGCTTACTGTACCTACATATAACTTTACCTCTCTCTTGGAATATATCATTAAAGTGACTCATGAAGAGATGGAGGAGAGAGGGCCATCCCAGCCCACTCAGAAACATATCTTGAGTGGGGGAAAAGGAAACTGAAGGGTTTTAAATTGGTGGTACTTGATAAAGCTGATAAAGGGAAGTCTGAGTTTTTATCCCATCAATATGCAACAGAAAGAACATCTAGATGGAACAATGAGACTGGACACAAACTTTACAAATACCATGACGGAGAAAGCATTTGTCAGATTTGCCATTGATCTTCACTTTGGAGATGTGATATAGTATAGAGGAGAGGGAACAGGTAGGCTTATATACCATTTAAATTGGTTTATAGGCCATAAATGAAAAATATGGAGCTGGAATTGATGAATGAATACACAGAAGAGTACATCTTAGAAAAATTACAGGTAATTTCTATTAATATTTTAATGTTAACATCAAAATTGGGAGTACAAGGATTAAAAGTTTAGAAAATATTAAAGTCTATGAATAGCTCATATTTTTACCTAACAGATGGTTGGGAATGAAACAAGTAAAGTAAGTTTTGTGAAATCACAACCCTTTCAAAATCATGTCTGGTAGCATGATCTTGCTTGAATGATTTGTTAACAAGTGCTATAGAGGTCAGTGAAAATATTCTCACAATGGCTGGAAATTAAAGCATCACACATGCACAAGCTTCCTTTTCATTTCAAATATGAAAATAGAAAATTACAGAAATTTGCATATCTTTGACAAAGCTAGAAAGCAGCTCTCATTCTTAGAGAATGATGCTCTGTACTCTAAATTAATTCCAAATGGGGCTGCTTGTAAAATGAAATCTGCTTGCATCCTTTCTTGATGCCACCTAAAGTATGATCACTTAAATATTAACTGCAACTCTACAGTCTTAAAAGCAGCACTAACATACAAGCTTAACTGCTGATTACAGGAATGGGTTACTCTTTTTTTACTGGTATATCCTTCATTAGCTTTGCCCGATGAACCCATCTTCCAGTCCAAACGTTATCTAACATTTTGAAAGAATATCATATTCTGTAAGAGCTTCGAAGGGTAAGGGTGTTTCCCTCAAAGGAAAACTGAGGTGCTTACCAAAGGGAAGGGAAAGAGAGACAGGTATGATGTCACTCATCTCTGCTTCTCCACTCAAACCTAGCACTGTACCTGGGACAGTGTACAGGGACTCCTTAACAAAAGTAAAATGAGAGAACTAAATCACATGGCTCAGAAGTTAGGACTCTTCCTGCATCTTTAGACTTGACATATATCTTTGGCCCTACTTACATTTGACAAATAGAGATTTATCTTCTTAAACAGTTATCCATTTTTGTGTCAGAAGGGGAATTCTACCATTTCAACTTACTGTCTCAGTATAACTGGATAACCTCATCCCACTCAGAAATGGGCCAGATTCCATTGGGCTGCACATTGGGGGGAGAGCGCTTCCAGTCCCATGTCTTCACGGGAATCTTCCAGGTCTTACCATAGTTGGCTTCAATGTACTCAATAGTTTCACAGGGCACATGAATCTTCATGTCTACAAACTCAGTCCAGCACAGTGTAAACTTGGGAAACAGGTATCTGCGGCAAAACAGAGGCAATGGGGAGAGGAGTTAGGCTCAACAGTACAAGTTCGCTCTAAAGAACCCTGCTGCTAGTGCACTCTGGGCCCAAGGAAAGTCCTCTCCCATCAGATAGCTTTGGGGAGAGATACAGTGGACATTTCGTGGTTTCTAACTGTTCAGCATCCCCTTCCTCTTATAACGTTAACAGCATCCTCACCCCCAATCCCCAGAGATGGGTAAAAAAGACCCAGGCCTAACCAGTACATTATAGTGATTGGATCAGGGATAGGAATATACACAAATTAGGCAAATAAAAGTCAGCTTTGGGATTTCCGCTGAAACACCGAAGAAAGAGGCGTTCTTTTTGCGGAGGTTTCTAAGCCGGTGGGATGCAAGCTGAGCATCTGTTATCTAACAGCAGGGAAAGACTGTCTGAGAATGAAGTCAAAGCCAAAAGCACCCAAAAGGCGGAGGAAAATGATACAGCTCAGAAAACTGTAGGGAAGGACTTGCATTTGGCTGTGGCCATTCCTTAAACATCTCAGGTAAACCAGTGAAGATATATAATTCTTTTCTTTATACATTTCTAATACTTGCGATTCTTCCTACACAGAGGGAGGCACATGTAGCAGTGTGAAAGGAAACAACTCTTCTAGTCTGCCAGAGAACCTGAATCAACTCTGGCAGTACAGGACATTCTCCAACAACAGCATCACATATGCTTGTGCCTTTGAGGCAGGTCTTATTAACTCCTGAGTCCCGGGTTTCACTGTGCTTTTAGATGGCTTTTGATAACCTACTTAGCTTAGTTAGCTAAAGAAGAAACTCCCTGGGTCAGCCAGGGTATTCTTCAAACTCCTTTCCTAACTCATACTGCAGTGAAAATTTCTCATGATATGTGAACATGGTAGTATGCACTAAGATGGGTTTTTGAGGAAAGCTTCACACCCCCTGCCCCCTCCTCCAATGCAGGCATAGAGGTCTAACGTCTGGATGTCCTGTACTTCAACAAGATGTCCCTTAAAGACAGCTATACTAACCACATTCTTCCTGCTCTATTATTTTACCACCTGCCCTTTTTAAATCTCTGTTCTCAGCCACAAACTTACTTTCTTATTTTTAACAGTTCACACATCATTAAATCCTCATTAAATTCAAACTGCTACTGAAAGACTCTACAGAACACTAAAATAAGCAGCATATGTGTGAGGTGAATCTTTTCTTTCATAACCTGGACTTCCCAAGGAAGACAGCAAGCATGACTCCAAGATGCATTCCCAGACCTCTGTCCCTCCCATGAACCTACCTGTAGTTCCTGGCTTTCTTTCGTCTCAAATGCTAAAGAATCTCTACACCAGCTCAGGCAGTGTTAGTTATAATGAATTTTACTCTATGTCTAGTGGAACTATTTTAACTAGCAGCTAAGCTTAAGAAATTAAACCAAAATATGTTTCTTAAAGGTACTCTAGATCAGTGAATTAAACTCAATATATTATAAAGGAAAGCTAAAACAAGCCGTTTCGTTAGATTTAAGTTTATATTATAGCGCGATATTCTGTGTTGGTGTTTTCGGAGAAATGTTTCTTCTCTTCACCACATGAAAAGAACTTTCAGTAATGAGATCTAAAGTGACAATAGCAGAGATCACAGAAATTTAAATTATCAGAGGATTAAAGAAAAAAGAAACAGGAAAGAGCCAGATGTCAAAGCATAATCATATTGTGGAAATGGGATCTAGCTGGGATGTTCTCCAAGGAAAGGTCAGTTCTCGTAATAGTCTGCTTTTAAATATCATGTTTTACCACCAGATGAACATAAAGCCATACATGAAAATGAGAGGCTGAACAAATTAAAAAGAAAGCAACAAGTCCCTTCTACCCAAACCAATGGGTGCTGGCAGTTAATAGACAATCCCAGCTGGCTTCTGTGAAAAGACGGCCACAGCAAATCTCATAGCTGAGGAAGAAATAAGATACAGCAGAGCTCTACCATCTGCTGGTCCCAATTTTATTCTGCACACTCATATTCATGGAATTGCTTATTTTGTCATCAGACCAGCCATCCATCATGGGCCTCCACCCTCCCCTATCAGATACTGGTCAAAAGAATGTTCACCTGTCTCATCCTATCAAGTTGACATACTCTAGCTGAAATGAGGCAGAAATTACGACCTATCTCCCTAACATAGGGCAGGAAACTCGTCTCTTACATATTAGCCTCTACAGTCTATCAAAGAGGTGAAAGAAAGAAAAATCAGAGGTCCAGGATAGATACGGTAGATGAGAATACTACAAATTTTAACGAAAGCAGTATTTTAAACAATGAAATGTTCAAATGGATAAAGCCATAACATTAAAAATAAACAATGTGAAAAATAATTCAAAGACAATTTAACTCCAATGTTCATTTGTGTTCCTAAATGGAAACATCCCTAAATCGTTGTGGTTTTCTTTTCACTAAAAAATTTTCAATTCAATCAGCAAAAAGAATATTCCAGCTTCCTAGGAGAAGGAGAAGATAAACCATAAAATGTGAAAGCTGATTGTTAAATAGGATAGAGGAGAGGCAGAGAGGGAGTGGGTGGCACAGAACACCACATACCATGTACTCTGTCCAGGTTACCAGCAAACAATGACTAAAACTAGAACACACCATGGGTCTGCGACATTACCTTAGCTTTTAGAGCTAAGGTTAAGTTTGGCTAAGCAATGTGTACTTTAGAGCTCTGGGACAGGATACAAAATGTGAACAGATTTAAATTCAGACTAAGGCAACCCTTGTAAGCTCAAGGGATCTTATCACACACATACAAATCTTTCCATTCACATTTTCTATGTCATAGCATGTTTACTTCATTTTATCTCTGCATGAAAGATTAGAATTAAGAGTTGGTTGGAGCTAAAAAAAAAAAAAAAAAGAGTTGGAGTAAACTATTTTTTTCCTCACAAAATTCCTTATAATCTGTAAAACTACTTACCGGTGGTTAGATATAGTAATCTCATCAGTTTAATTGCACATCCCATAAACGTAATTGCTAAATGGAAAACACTGTTTTTATTATTACTCGTTAGCTAGACTAAATGAAAGAAAGACACCATCATTTACAACTGAATTTGACCTTTTTAAACACAAGTTGCATTAAACTCTGGAATTGGAACAGCAGAGCAATGTTTTCAAACAAGAATTTCCCGCAAAACAACACAAATGGTCTATTCTCATTACCAATCCTTAATTTCTTTTTCTTGTGCTATTCCGGTGCCTAAGCCCTCTAGCATTCTGCTTAATAGAGGCAGGCAGAGCACACATTTTTTTTTTTTTCTGATTCCAAATCCATTTTACTCCAAGCTTGCTAAAAGGCCTTTCCCCCACTTTTGGTTAATTATGAAATTTATCAAAAGTTTTTAATGTCATCAAATGATAATGGAGGGTTTCTTCCCTTTGATCTTTTAAACATTTAATGTTGAAAATTACACTAATACACAAGAACTACAAAATTTAATATAATACATGATCAAGTTTTGCAAATGTTCTATTTAGCAGACAAGAAAGTATATTAGCATTTATTGGGTGAAGATTTTTCTATATATGCAGTAAATCAAGCTTGTTGATTTTCTTCATGTTTTCAATAGTTTACTAATTTCTTCTTTGCCTGAATCAGCAGTTTGGTTTTTTTTTTTAAAGATTTTATTTTTTTATTTAACAGAGAGAGAGAGCGCGATCACAAGTAGGTAGAGAGGCAGACAGAGAGAGAGGGAGGTAGGCTCCCCGCAGAGCAGAGAGCCTGATGAGAAGCTCGATCCCAGGACCCTGAGATCATGACCTGAGCCGAAGGCAGAGGCTTTAACCCACTGAGCCACCCAGGCGCCCCTGAATCAGCAGTTTTTTAAATAAAGATATTTATTTAATATCTTTATTTAAAAAATAAATAAAGATATTTCAGAATCTCCCACCATAATTGTGGGCATGTTAAATACTCATTAGAATTTCATCAGCTTTTGATTTACATACTTGAAGACCATATTTTTTTTTTTTAAAGATTTTACTTATTTACATTGAGAGAGAGAGAGCTAGCAAGTGGAGAGGCAGAGCGAGTGACAGAATCTCAAGCAGGCTCCATGCTGAGCACAACTCTGAGATCATGACCTGAGCCGAAATCAAGAGTCAGACACTTAACTACTGAGCTATGCAGGTGCCCCTGAAGACCATGGTATTAAAATCAAACAATATTTCTTTGTGGACTACTTCTTTGGAAAATTATGTAGTGGGCCTTTCAATCCTTTAATATTTTCCCCCTAAAATTCTATTTTGCCTGATACTAATATTACAGCAGCAGTTTTCTTTAGTTAATAATGTTGGGGCATATCTTTTTCCATCCCTATAATTTTCACCGTTTCTGTGTGATTTTGCTTTAGGTGTGCCTCTTGCCAAGCCTTATATAGCTATGTTTTGTTTTTCTATCTCATTTTAATCTTCATCTTTACATGGGTTAGCTTAATCTGTTAATATTTCCTGTAATTAATTTTATATTTAGACATATTTTGAATTCTAGAGCCAGACTGCCTGGGCTCAAATCCTAGCTCCACTTCTTACCAGGTATAATACATTAGTCAATCTCTTTGTGCCTTAACTTCTTCATTTCATTTATAAAATGAGGGTACTAAGCTTAGAGAGATGTTAGCATAGAATAAATAAAGTACTTAGAATAGTGTCTAGCACATACACAGTAAGTGGTATTACAGTGTTGACTGCTGTCACAATTATCTTTGCATGTTTTCAGTTTGCCATAACTTTTCTTTGTCCTACCTTTCCTAATTTCATTTAATTGATAAAGGTTTATTAAATTCTCATTTGTTCTGCTTATTTGGAAGTTAATTTTTTAACAATTTTTTTTAAATAAATTAATTTCTGCACCTGGGCACCTGAGTGGCTCAGATGGTTAAATGTCTGCCTTCAGCTCAGGTCATGATCCCAGAGTCCTGGGATCAAGTACCACATCAGGCTCCCTACTTAGCATGG